ACTCAGGAAGTTCTGGGCTTTCTCTCGTAACAACTAAATCCCTTTTCTGCCCACAGATGTCCCAGAATAACCCAAACCTGGGGAACCTCCTTGGCTTGAAGGGGGAGAGCGATGGTGGGCACCTGTCAGCTGCGGGAGATGCCACCCAGTATCTGGGCAAGACCGTGAAGGCGCTCGTTCAGGAGAAGCTTGCAGAGCCCTGGAAGATGTATTTGCGCAGGTGAGGGCAGGAGGAGGACCTGGGTCAAAGGAGAGAGAGGGCAGGCCCTGCCCCGCGGAAGGCCTGGGGGGCCGGGCTGCAAGGGGGCCTTCCCTGCCACCTCTGAGGCTGCTGAAGTAAGACTCTTGCATTGGGCACCAAAGTAGCATGGAGGACACAGTGCCAGGGCCCTGGTTAGCTTCCAGTATTTCAAGCGTCATCACTTTCCCAGGACTCAAGTTGTTTTGCCTGCTAATGGAATTTAACCCTGCCTTAGCCTCTGTAAAGACATTGGCAATAAAAAAAAAGGCTCAAAGCCCGTAAAACGGGCCAAAATTAACTAGAAGTAGAAGTCAATTCGACTAGTTCTCTGCATTGGAAAAGTCAGAGCTTTCCTGAAAGAGCCAGGGAGGTTTTCCTGGCACTGCAACATCAGAGGCTGGATCTCAAGAAGCATCAACAAGCCCATCTCTTATTGTTCCCCGGAATTGCCTTTGCCATAGAATATAGAGTAACAGAGTTGGAAGGGACCCTGGGGGTCTTCTAGTCCAACCCACTGCCCAGGCAGGAAACCCTACACCATTTCAGACCAGTGGTAGTCCAATCTCTTTCTTAAGTTTGCTGAGTTCTTCATTTCTGGTGGGTTATTCTTGTTTGATTAAGGCCAGTCAACTGGCTTCCTCTGCAGAAGGAGAAATCGAGATTCCTTTTGAAAAGTGATTCGGTTTTCCCAGATTCGGTGAAGTTGCGCACAACTTCTGTGTGTGCGACACTACAAGCCTCTCCTTGAAGATAGGAGCCTTCTACAACCAGATGTGGGGCCTCACAGCTGCCTTACTCCCCAGGAAGGCCGAACTAACCTCTCTCTGTATAAAAGCGAAATACCACTCATGCATCATCACAAAATCTCCAGAACTATAAAGCCTGCCAACTTGAAATTTAGCCCGTATGTTCCTCTTAGGTGCTCACTAAGAAAGGATTTTTCAAAATGACCATCAGAGCCATTAATATTTCCTATATTATTATTATTATTAACACGCTCTGATGCTAAGGAGTTCTACTCCCCCTCCCCACCTGAAAAGAAATCTGTTCCAAAGGCAAAACACAAGCAGAGGAGAGGAGTTTCAGTTTCAGTTCACCAAGCAGCTTTTGTACAGAACAGTTGAGCTAAGCCACGCCCAGGCTCCTTGCTGTCTCCTTCTTGCTCACACAGCAAATACTGCTTCAGTTTCCAAACAGCCCTCAACTCTCTCCCACACTGACAGGACACTAGCCAGATGAATCCCAATGGATGGTGGTAGGCAGAGGCAGAATTCCCCCCACCTTTTCTCCTCCCCAAAAACTAAGCCGGACGACATAGTTTCGTAGCAAAGCATGGGTATCGAGCTAATAAAAATTAAAATCAACCCCAGGCTGCTTTATTAAAAAAAAAAAAAGCCATGATAATAAAAGGCTAATTTTTTTTCCAAATCAGAATATATATATATAGAAAGAGAGAGATGGCGTTGCTTTCTTTCGGTAAAAAGGACACCTTCATCTCTTGTGTTTTTCAGTATGCAAATGTATTTAAATCCAGCCAGTTCAAAGCCAAACAGTTAATTAAAAGATTGACCCTCCTAGGAAATTATAGCAGGGCTTCTTCCTTGTCCAGCAGGCCTCCTCTTTCCCCGCTCTTTGTCCCGCCCGTTATCTGCCCGATCAGTCGGGGCCTTTATGCTTCAGCCCGAGGAGGAAGAAGCGTGCGTCCTTGTCGCCCCATTCAAAGACAAGCCAGGAACGAAGATTTCCTGCCCGCTTGCGGAAGGATTGGAAGGGGGTCTTTAAAATGGGGAGGAGGAGGGGGGGACTCTGGACCAAGGGGGCAGAGGCTGCTTTGCAGGCCGGAGCGGAGGGGTTGGGGGTTGGGAAGGTCCAGGTTGGGCGGAGGAAGGGCCTGAACCACCGGGGGGGGGGGGGGGGGGGGGGGGGGGTATCCAGGGTGCAAGGGCCCGCAGAGCAAGTGCTTGCAGAGTTTCAGGCTTCCTCTTCTCCTTTGGCAGGTTTGGCACTAAGGATTTCTGCGACGCCCAGTGCGACTTCCTTCACAAGGTGCATTTCCACTGCGTGGTGGAAGAGTGCGGTGCGCTCTTCAGCACCGTGGATGGAGCTGTGAAGCACGCCAAGTAAGTCCCAGGCATCGCTTCCCTTTAAAGAGTTAAAGTCTACAAGTCATAAAGTTGCCAAGTTTGGGGACCCCGGTGTAGATCCAGGAGTTTTGGGCAGCCCCCTAAATTGGCAGGTGAAGCTGAAGCTCCCTGAGATGAATGTCACCCTGTATGTCATAAAGGCGTTTTTTAATTTCTGTGAAGCTGCCCAGAATCAGTCTTAGGAATTCGCCAGAAGCACCCCTGTTTAGAAACAAGCAGGAGACCACTAAGCGATGCCTAAACAGGGCGACTGAATGAGCTGCTCTAGCTGTCCGCGTCTATGGCTGATGAATCTCTCTCTCCCTCTCCGTCTCTCTCTCTCTCTCTCCTCACTCTTCTCTGTAGTTTCCATTTCCGAACAGAAGGAGGCGCCGCGAAGGGAACCTCGGAGCACACCTTCCCGACTCCGGCAGAGAACAAGACCTCCATCCCCCCTTCCTCTCCATCCGCCACGTCCGCCATTCTGGCCTCGGCCACGGAGGGGCCCACCGCGTGTCCGGCTAGCGTGCCGTCCGCTCCCACGCTCCTGGCCTGGAAACAGCTGGCTTCTACCATGTCTCAGCTTCCCGTCTCGGGGCCCGGGCTGGCCACCTCCCCGATGGCCACCACTTCCCTGGAGAACGCCAAGCCACAGGTCAAGCCAGGCTTCCTCCAGTTCCAAGAGAAGTGAGTGGCTCTTTTGGACGGACGATGTTGGGATCCAGGGGTTGGTGACCTGGGCTCGAGGTGTCCAAGGCAGGCCCTTTGGCCACTGGGATGCCCCCAACTGGCTAGGGTGCTCCGGGAGGGGAAGCCGGCAACCGTCTGTTCTGACCCAGCTCCCCAAACACGACAAACCCTCTGAAGTGAACTCAAAAGATTCCTTTATTAGGAGTGGCGGCAAAAAATTTATCTCTCAGGATAACAAGTCTGTCCATCCGGAAGATAAATAATTGTCTCCCACATCTATTCATCTCTGCCCCCTGCCTTTTATCCCCAGAGTCTGGTGGGGCTTCACTAGCGGCGGTAGCTATTCCTTCCCAAGGACCGGCCCATTGATTTCCACTGCTCTCCTCTCCTCTCCACTGCCTTCTGTGCATCCGCAGTCAGGCACTGGACCCGGCTGTTCCTCCTCTTCCTCATCAGCCACCTCCAGGCCTGGGAGTCTCCATCTGAGGGCTGACGCCATCTGAGGGCTGACGCCCAGGCCCCGCCTTTGTCTCTCTGCCAGCTCCATTCCCTCTTCCCCCTCAGGGCTCCCAGGTTGCCTTGATGGTGACCCCACGCCTCCTCCTCCTCCTCCTCCTCCTCTGATTTGTCTGCTGGAGGAGCCACCAGCCGACAGGCCACAACACCGTGCCTGTTAGCCTCGAAGGGCTCATTTTGGGTCTCTCCTCCAGCGATCCTTGCCTGGCCACGGACTGCAAGTATGCCAACAAATTCCACTTCCACTGTCTCTTTGGGAACTGCAAATACGTGTGCAAAACCTCGGGGAAGGCCGAGTCCCACTGCCTCGACCACATCAACCCCAACAACAACCTGGTGAACGTGCGCGATCAGTTCGCTTATTACTCCCTGCAGTGTCTCTGCCCAAACCAGGTAAGACCCCCACGGAGGGTCCCGGGAGAGAGAGAACAGGAGGGGCTGGGATGCAGGATCTCCTGGAACACGGGGGCCTGGAAATGGGGGAGGGGCTTATCTCACAAGCCTGACCCTCCCTCCCTCCCTCTCCTGCCTGCAGCACTGTGAGTTCCGCATGCGGGGGCATTACCACTGCCTTCGCCCCGGCTGCTTCTTCGTGACCAACATCACCACCAAGCTGCCGTGGCATGTGAAGAAGCACGAGAAGGCTGAGCGGAGAGCCGCCAACGGTTTCAAGTACTTCACCAAGCGGGAAGAATGCGGCAGGCTGGGTAAGCGGACGGGACGGGACGGGACGGGACAGACACACATCGATGAGCCACCGCTCGCTCGCTCGCCTTCCCTTCCAGCTTTCCTTCACGCAGCTTAAGCAGGCCCGCTGGGTTTCCCCCGCCCCAACTTCTCTCTGTCAGGTTGCAAGCAATGCAGTCGTCATAAAACAAACTCGATTCCTCAAAGGATTCATTGTATTCTAGTTTAGCCTGAATTTAGTTTGGTGGTGGAATCGTACGAGTTCAGCCGGACGCTCGTTTTATTCAACTTGAAGTCGTCCCTTGGATCAGCTGCTCCTCCTCCTTCCCCGATAAGCAGCTGGAGCTCAAATATTAAGTATCCCGGGCTGTGACGCCGGGCAAGGCCGAGCCCACCAGCCTGTCTTTCCTTCTCCTGGACTGGGGCACAAACCCTTTCTTGGACCCCGTTGGCCGTCGCATCCCGAGGATGGAGAAGAGAAAAGTAGGAAACCGCTCCGCCGTTCTTTGCTAGTCCTTTGTGCCAAGAGCCCGGTTTTCACAGCGAGGCTCACCCGGGACATCCTAGAATAGAAATATATTGTTGTCCCAGGATTCCCCAGGTGGCCCTGCCTTCAGCTTGGGCCTCTGCTGGCAGCGAGGGCGACCCTGCCTCTTCTGAATGCCAACTCCCTGGCGAAGCAGAGGCACATCAAAGCGCCCAGCATTGCATAGAGGCAGCGGGTGTGGCTGGCAGCTGCGTTGGCCAGTCATAAAGGTGGGGCCAGGCCTCCCCCTCCTGCCCCAGTTCACTGCAAGTTTTCTCCTGCAAGAGAAAAGGAGACAGCTCGTCAGGGGAGGCTCAGAGGGACCCCAAATCTTCCTTTCACCTGCCACTTCTAGATACCGCAGGGTTCTGGAAGGATGGGGTGCCCTTCGCATGCCTGGCATCCTTGCCCCCCTTCTAAACCCCACTCAAGGCTGTGGATCGGGGGTAGGATTCAAACATGTTTACGGCCGGTTCTGTGGGCGTGGCTTGGTGGGCGTGGCAGGGGAAGGCTAGTGCAAAATCCCCCTTCCCTCCCCCACCTCACTAACCTGCTTTCCAGCTCTGTTCTCCTGGGCAGGGCAACCCAAGGAAACCCAGCCGATCAGCTGGGACTCAATGGGAGGCAGAGAATAGAAGGGACTGGCGGGTTCTCTGAACGACTCAATGTTTCCACTACTGGTTCTCCAGAACCGGCTGTAGACCCACCTCTGGTGTGGATGGGACAAGGGTTATGCGCAAAAACACCCCAGACGATTCAAAAGGACAGGAGAGGTGGAAGAAAAGGGCTACTCCATTTTGTATTTCCAATACAAAATGGAAATATTGTTTTTTCCTTTTGAAAACGTTTGGCTTCTCCTGCAAGAAACTTCTTCAGTTTTTCTGGAGAAAACCAAAACCGAAACGAAAGAAAACTCCATTGGCCTTTTTGGAAGAGCAGCTTTGAGGGCAACCCTGATTTTGGGTGACTTGAGGATCTGCACGTAGACTCCATTTTGTCCTTTGTCAAGCATTTCAGCCCTGGGGATGATCCCAAGGCACAGCTTGTAACCGGGGCAACAGGACAACAAGGCCCTGGGCCAGCCCTCACCTGGTTCCTGGCTCGGGAAGGCCAAGAGTCTTGGCGGTTGGCTGCCACTGTCCGGCACATCGCCGGGCCACGCAAAACCAGCCAAGGATACCCGACCCTCGGCTGCCCCAGCAACAAGCAAGCCTGGGCTCACCTGCCTGCTGCCAATCATCTTGGACGGACTCACCCCCAGCAGAGCAGAGAGCAAGGGCTGGAGGGGGGGAGGGGGCATGGTGGGGGGGGGGGGGAGAGGAGGAGAGGATCTCCAGAAATGCCAACTGGGCAATGCCCTTCCGGTGGCAAAGCTCGGTTGGCAGGCTAGCTTGTAAACAGACCTGCGGTCAAGCGCGGCAGGAGAGCCCTCCGTGGCTGGAAGAGCCCGTGGCTTCTGCATCCATTAATTCATCCCATTGCCCCCCCCAAAATACACCCCAAGTCCATCAACAATTTGGGGTGGGGGAAAACCACAGGGGCCTTTTATGCCCGCCTTTTCCCTGGCAGGTTGCATTTCAAAGCCGCTCCAGCTTTCGGGTGGGCTACGGAGCTTGTCGTGGGGAGGGAAGAGGAGGGTGTGTGTGTGTGGGGGGGGACACGGACGGCTGGTGCCTGTTTTTTAACCTCCGCTGCTTTTTAATTGATGGCTTTATTATGCCGCTTCTGACGAGATGTATATGGATTTTGGATTTTATTTGTGTTTTCATTGTATGTCATGCTGAGAGAGTATTTGCTATAAGGCAACTAATAAATCTTGGAAATAATTAAATAAAAGTTATAGCAGGCAGCATCCAAGAGGGCCTCTCTCTCTCTCTCTCTCTCTCTTTCTCTCTCTCTCTCTCTCTCTCTCTCCCTTCCTCCCTCCCTCCCTCCTTTTCTCTCTCTCTCTCTCTCTCTCTCTCTCTCTCTCTCTCTCTCTCTCTCGTGGGAAAACAAGGAATGCCACTTTTTAAGACGGCCCCTGGCTTCGGTAATTTTCATAAATTTAAAACGGCTTTCCAATTAAACCCTTTAAAAAACTGATCCGTTTTAAATTGTCCAACCTTGCCAATTAATAAATTCAATGCAGCGGGTTTGACTTCGGTCGTTCGGTAAGTCATTTGAGTTATCTCAGAAATGTCCCTCTCGGTCGACCTTCGCGCCCACCACAAAGGAGACAGGCCGCGGGTGTGTGTGTGTGTGTGTGTGTGAGTGGGTGGAGACACACATGTCGCTCAGCCTGGGTCCATCTAGGGCTGGATCCCAGGTCGATCTTCCTTTCAGGGATCTCCCTGCTTTGATTTTCTCTTGTGAGGTGGGGGAGGCATCCGTCTTTGCCCCCTTCGGATGTTGGTGCAACCGTGGGGAGGCAAATTCTCAGGAGGGGGAAAGAGTTTCATTCCGAAATTGTGGAAATACCAGGTCCCAGGAAATACCAGCTGATCGTCTGGGTCTCCTTGGGTTGCCCTACCCAGGAGAACGGAGCTGGAAAGCAGGTTAGGGGGGTGGGGAGGGGTTTTAGTAGTTGCCATAAAAAGGGGGGGGGCAAGCAAAAGTACATTCCAACTCTTCTCTTTAAAAGTTTGTAACTAAAATACCAGAGCTTTTGCCCATGAATATACTTAATTGGAGAACATGATTGATGACACCCAGCCTGTGAGCGTACTTAGTTAGAGAATCTGGTTTATGAGACACCCAGGGGGGAGGAAGGGGGGAAACAGGGTCACAGGGGACTGTAAATGAGGTATTGCCAGAGTTGGCTTCCTACAGGGCCGTGCCAGTACATCGCCTCTAATAAATCCTTTGAAGTTTTTTGAAGTTTGGCTCGAGAATCATGATTCAATTAGGGTGATTGCTGGCATCCTGACAGAATGGAGATTTTGCAGTAACCTTCCCCTGCCATGCACACCAAGACACGCCCACAAGAACCGGTAGTAAAAAAAACATTTTTTGAATCCCACCACTTTGACCCCGTCTGCTCCCCACTCCCAAGACGTTGGTTGCCATCGTTGTGCGACGTGTAAATCTTTCCCCCTCCCTTCCAGGCTGCAAATACAACCAGGTCAACAGCCACTTCCACTGCATCCGTGAGGGCTGCCAGTTCTCCTTTCTGCTGAAGCATCAGATGACGTCCCACGCCCGGAAGCACATGAGGCGGATGTTGGGGAAGAACTTTGACCGCGTTCCCACTCAGGTGACTCTCCCGGAGGATTTGCTTCTCCGTCCCAGGGCTTCGGGGTTTTCAGGGACAGCAGTTGGAAGCAGGAAAGCCTCGGCTGTGTGGGCCATCCAGCTCTGGCTGCCCCCCGCTTTCCACCAGCAGCTGCCCCCCCAGGCCTCCTGACCCGCGTTCGAGGGGGTGGGTAGGACCAGGAGCGGCTTCTCGTGAAGCGGTGAAACCTGCCAGGATCCCAGAAAGCGGCTTTTGGAGGGCAGTGGACATGAGGGGCGAAGTGCCCCCCCCCCAAAAAAAAAGTCCCCCATGCCTGGACCCCAACATAAGTTCTGGTTTTAACGAAATCAAATTCAGTTAGAGCTCAAGAAATGAAACGTGGCTTAATGGGATTACCACCCGCGTGCGTTGACTGTCTTTTCCTTTGTGGGATATTAAAAGTCACAATTCCTCAGCGGTTTCTCACAGGCCTCTGGAGGGGCAAATACACAACCCCACCCCGAATTTCAGGAGTGCAACACAAGCTCTCGGGCTTCAGGCTAAAGCTCAGGATTGTTGCTACATACTCAGCTTCTTTCCTGCATAGAAAGGGCTGCTTTTGCAGTGTAAAGGGCTCTGCAGCGTCTCCCGTCTCTGTTGCTGTCTCAGTCTCTCTCTGTCTCTCTCTCTCGGGCTCTGTCTCTGTTTCTCTCTCTCACTCTGTCTCTGTCTCTCTCCCTCTCATTCTCCGTCTCTCTCTCTGTCTCTCTCTCTCTCCCTGTCTCTCTCTCTCTGTCTCTCTCTCTCTCTTGGACTGTCTCTCCGTCTCTCTTTCTCGGTCTCTGTCTCTGTCTGTCTATCTCTCTCCCTCTCCCTCTGTCTCTCTCTCTCTCTCTTGGACTGTCTCTGTCTCTCTCTCTCCCTCTCTCTCTCTCTCTTGGACTCTCTGTCTCTGTCTCTCTTTCTTGGGCTCTGTCTCTGTCTGTCTCTCTCTCTCCCTCTCTCGGACTGTCTCTGTCTCTCTTTCTCAGGCTCTGTCTATGTCTCTCTCTCTCTGACTGTCTCTGTCTCTCTCTCTCTCCCTGTCTCTCTTTCTCTTGGATTCTCTCTCTGTCTCTCTCTCTCTCTCTCTTGGACTCTCTGTCTCTCTCGGGCTCTTTCTCTGTCTGTCTCTCTCGCTCTC